TAATAAATTTACAGACATTTCTAAAATTCTGTTTTCACTTTGTCCTTATGGGGTACTGAGTGTAGATTAATGAGAAAAAAAATGAATTTGAACTATTGTAGTATTGGGCTGCAACATAACAAAATTGAAAAGTGAAGGGTGTCTGAATACTTTCTGAGTGCACTGTATATTCAGATAACATTATTGGGAATTTGTGGACAGTCCCTTAAAACAGGCATGAGTGTTTTTTTTTAAGGAGGATTCCAGATGTGAGTCAGATGCTTAGAAATGAGAGAGGAGGAAGGGAGGAACCCAACTGCTTGAAAATAAGGAAGGTAAGTTTCCCAATTTTTCTGACTTTAGTTCTACACGTTTCATTCACCAAGTATTTCACTATTTATCATTTCAAAGGCAATCTACAAATTCATGGCATTCTTTGTGCAAATGAATTTGGAGAAGGATGATCTACTCAAACTGATGAGATTGCTAATTAGTATAAGTGGAGAGGGAGAGTCCAATTATTCAGTGAAATTAGATGTGAATTAGTAGGAGATGGTTTATGGCCATTTATTTCTAACATAACAAAAATAATTATTTCCAGAACCTCAAGTGTAGTTTCTAAACATTTGTGTCTGATGTGTATTGTATGTATAATTCAAAATTTGTGTGCATCTGTGCACCATAAAGTACTGTATGGACACATCCTACACTAAGGGTTGTAGTCATTTCACCAACTGCCGAAACTGGTAAAAAAAGAAAACTTAAATACAAGTTGTATTGTCGAAGGCTTTCACACCTGGAATACGTTGGCTGGTGTGGGTCTTCTGGGCTGGATGGCCGTGTTCTGGAAGTTTTGTTTCCTAACGTTTTGCCAGCATCTGTGACCGGCATCTTCAGAGTGCAGGAGCACAGACAGGAGTAGTTCTCTCTGTGCCCAGGATGAGGTGACCCTTTTGTGGGTATTTATAGAGAACTGAGGGGGGGGACTGGGGGTGTGTGGGGTGTGGGTTAACGAGTGGCTGCTTGTTTTGGTGTCAGAATACGTGTGTATCTGGGGATTGGGCAGGGTTTTTTCTTCTATTGAGTTGTTAACGAGTGGCTGCTGGGGGTGATTGGTATGTTCATTGTGTGAGCTGCTCACATGTCCTGGTGGTTGAGCCGAGTTCATTGACCTTTTGCAGGCTGTATTTTTCAGGATTGGTAGCCAGGTTTTGTTGATTT